CGTGGATGTCATTCTTGTGAAACGTCCCGCTCCAAACTTTGTGTCTGAGAAGCGATATTTTTATAAAGAGATGATCTGGCTTTGTGTCTTCTGCTCAATGAATGTTTTTCTGTTGGAATTTTGTTCCTGCATACTAAAAATGAACTGGCTTCACCCAAAATTTTCCAGATATAATTTTGTATCTGATAATCAAATAAGATACAGCAATATTGTCACCATCATTATCTGAATAAAAAACAACTATTTTTTCTCAGAACCTGTCAATTTATTTTTCTTGACTAAAAATCCGAAAAATATCTCTTCCAGATATTTCTCTATGTCCTGTTAAAACACGTTTTACATGTCCATTAGGTCAGCTGATATAGTTTTAATGTCCATCCATACAGAGTTCAAAATAACAACTACCCACCCGTGCAGGCACGGTCACGCTCCGCCGCGCACGTGGGAAAACATACAATATTCCCAGAACATCCCCCTTTTTAAGATTCGAAATATATATATACATTACAAACTTTAAATGCATAATATAATTAATAATGAAGGCGATCCACGGGTTTAACAATTCGTCCACTCCGGGTTCTTATCTGGCCGTCTTCTGAGTCGTTAGAGGGATAATCCACAACTGGGGTCTTTTCATTTTCAACCAGTTCCTCCCCCGAAAAGGTCGGCGTCGATGGGTCGGCTGGATATTGCGCTGTCACTCCATTTCGTAGATGGAACCTGTTTCGACGTAAAGTCCCAACTGGAGTATCAACCATATATGACCTTGGTGTCGATGCTTTCTGCTTTACAATCCCCCAGATTCGCATATCTGTAATCCAAACCGTGTCACCTTCGGATAGCTCCTCCATGTCCGTAGCTCCGCAGCGTCGATCATATCTGGATTTCATATCCTTCCTCTTTCTCCCCTCCTTTCTTTTCAGGGCCTGAGAGTCCACCAACTTTGGATTAAGATTCTCTGGTGCAATTGGCAAGGTCGTTCGGAGTTTACGTCCCATGAGAAGCTCAGCAGGGCTGTAACCGTTCTCCAAAGGGGTCGATCGATACTCCAGGAGTCCAAGCGATGGGTCTTAATTTTTCTTGAGGATCAACTTAGCAATTTTCACACTTGCTTCTGCCATCCCATTGCTCTGCGGGAATCGAGGACTTGAAGTGACATGTGTGAATCCGTACTGCCTTGCGAAATTTGCAAATTCACGAGCAGCTCCAAATTGCGCCCCATTATCGCTTACAACAGTTTCTGGTATTCCATGTCGGGCAAATATGGATTTGCAACTACGCACCACCACATTGGCTGTGAGCCGATCCAGCTGAATCATTTCAGGAAAGCGAGAATAATAGTCAATGACGACTAGATACCACTTATTCTCGAACTTGAACAAATCCATTCCAATCTTTTGCCACGGTCGTGTAGGAAAGTTGGTTGGTATCAAAGGTTCATGTTTTGAGACGGCTTCCTGGATACAGACACTGCACTTTCTGACCGTTTCCGCGATCTCTTCCGAAATTCCAGGCCACCATACAGTCTCACGTGCACGAAGTCTTGTTTTTGTAATCCCGAAGGGCCCAGCGTGCAACTTATCTAGGATCTCCAGTTTCATACTTGCTGGAATAACAAGACGACAGCTACGCATCAATAGTCCATTTTGAACGACGAGTTCATCCTTGACATGCCAATAAGAAAGCAGAGCCTGTGACATATTCTTCTTATGTGGCCAGCCTTGCTCAAGGTAGTTGACTACTGCTTTCAGGGTCGTATCTTCTTGTTGAGCTTCAAAAATCCTCGTCAACATCTCGTCTTTGTCGGTTATACACGAGAGAACTGTATTTATATGCGCTGAGGTTTGCCGTTCGTCTTCACCTCCCTCGGTTGTAAGAAGTGGTTGTCTGGATAATGCATCGGCGTCGAGCAGCTCATTTCCAGGGATGTCCAATCTTGTTTTGAGCTTTTCCATCAAAGGTATTGGTACCCGTCGAGGAGTATGCACAGAATATGGTTTTGCTCCAGGTTTCATTTTGATTTCGTAAGGGTTTCCGATCTGTCCCAGTCCTTCAAATACCTCAGGGAATTCCTTGATCGGGTTAATTCTCGTCGCAACCACTTCAATCCGCCTCGCCAGGTTCAAGAGCTCACATGCCCGGCGACTCAGAAGAGGTTCACCCAAACGACGAATGACATAAATCTTCTCCTTGATTTCATAATTGCCATTTCGCAGCGTTGATATAAACATACCCACAGTCTGAAGTTCGGAGAATTCCGCAGCTCTCTAATGTTGATATCACTTTCCACTAGTCGTTGCTGTCCCATTATCTTCTTGAAGAGACACAGAGGAACACATGTAACATCCGCCTGGGAGTCGAGCTTGAACTTCACCTGTTTCCCGTTCACTTGGATTTCTGCTGTCCATCGCCTCCTGCACTCGCCTTCATCATCATCGAGATTAGATGAATCCTCCACAGCTGAGACCTCCAGGAGAAAACCAATTTCTTCATCAAGTTCAGAAACTGCTTTGACTTCCGCAGTCTTCGCCTGCCTATCTGGGCAGCAATTTGCTAAATGGCCTGTTTTTGAACATAGGTTACATCTTTGTCCTTCAGCACGGCAAGCCTGTCCTTCCCTGTGGGTGAAACCTCCGCATTTTGGACATCGTGATCTTGTTTTGGCTGACTTCTCCTTCTTCCTCGAAGGCTGCTGTTGTTGTTTCGGTGCTTGTTTCTTCGAGTTGAACTTCACCTGATTGACCTTTTGGCTTGTTGAGGGACGCCGCAGGTCGACTTGCTGCTGTCGAACGGCTTCCTGCTGTCGAACCATTTTCACCACCTTTTCCAAAGTCAGTTCGCTGTCCAACTGCATTCTTTCAGATAAAGCTTTGTCCCTCACTCCAACCACTATTCGGTCACGGATCAACTGCTCATGAAGACCCTCAAATTCGCAACTATCAGCCAATTTGTACAATGAAGTGATGAATTCGTCCACTGGCTCCCGATCCTCTTGGATTCTTGAATTAAATTTCGCACGTTCGTAGATAATATTCTTTCTGACACAGAAGTGGCTGTCGAACGCCTTGAGGACGGAATCAATTTTCGTTGCCTCTTCCTCCTTTTCGAACTTGAAGGTCCTGAATATCCCATCAAGTACATGAACAAATCGATCTTGTCCGCCTCCTCTTTCTTCTTCATTCCACTGACCACGAGGTATCGTTCGAATTTCTTCCTCCATTTGGGCCATTCGTTGGGAGTCGAGAAGTCGAAAGTTTCTGGAGGTTGAATCTGAGCCATGTTGAATTATCTTCCAAGGTACACAAAAATCGATATTTTGCAATATACGGGTTCGTATTTTATCCAGTTATCGCTGCCACCATGTTTTAATGTCCATCCATACAGAGTTCAAAATAACAACTACCCACCCGTGCAGGCACGGTCACGCTCCGCCGCGCACGTGGGAAAACATACAATATTCCCAGAACAGATATTACCTCCCATCTTCACCGCTAGAGGCGCTGCTTGCGAGCAAAAGGGCAAATTTGCAACGCAATTTGCAAATAACTTGTATACATACTTGTGTACATACACCATAAATCTGTACATAGACAGGAAAAGAAATATATTTTAATAATATTGTCACTGAAAAATTATTTTAAATATTCTGTGGTATATCATCATTAATATTTGCATAGTCATCACCCCTTACCCCCCATTCTTGTATATTATTACTCGTAAAACGCTCCAGGAACCTGGGTTACTTAAATAAATAAATTACTCGTAAATAAATTTTTAGAAATAGTTTGCATTTTATAAATAAATTATTTTTACTTAAACTTTTGTTATACTCGTTATCACTACCGTGACAATATAAATGAGTTTTAAAAATTGTAAAATGCATCGGCCGGGACCAGGAATCAAACCCGCGCCCGCGTGGCAGGCGAGCATTCTACCACTGAACCAAAAGCAAACGGTGACAGAATTGTTGTGATGACTCTGATACTTGTATATTTTAATAATAAATAATTACCGTCAATATAATTATTCTTTTTTATCATCATCTTTCTGCATCTTCATTTTCTGGCTTCAGTAAATAAAGACCATCCGCGTCGTTAGTTAGACTTAATATCTAATCTAAATTACTCTATTTTCTATTATAAATATATTGTATAATCCTATTGAAATTGTCTAAATATGTTGGAATAGCGATCAAAATTAGCGTGGAGCATTGGGGGATCGACCAATCAACGGCCGCGGCGGCGCTGCGGTCGACGTCAATATATATAGTCCTTAGTCTCTTGCCTTCCTACATGTACTTGCCTTTAAAATTTTGCTACTTTAACATCTTGTTTTAAGTTACTTTGTTTAATAAATAATCCTTTTATTCCTTGATTCAATCTCAAACTTCAACAGGTTATGGGCCCAGCACGCTTCCACTGCGCCTAAAAGGATTAACCGCCAGCAGTGAGTAAGCCTTTGTTTTGCTTGAAGTTTAGGCGTCAACCGCCAACCATAACCCTAGTTTCTTTTTGTCGTTGGCCGATTCCAAGACAAAGAAGATGAGCGAAGATTGTCTTTCAAGGATTAAAGTTTTTAATGGTGAAAACTTTTCACTATGGAAATTCCAATTCAGGCTTCTTTTGGAACAACAAAAATTACTAGAATTATTGGAAGGCTTAGAAATAAAGCCGAATGTTGTTTCCTCCGACAGTAACTCTGAAAGTCCACTACAGAATTGGAAATCAAAGGACGTTAAGGCAAGGATGTTGTTATCACAGGCAATCGAATTAAGGTTTCTTCAGCCCCTGATGAACTGTACTTCCGCTTCACAAATGTGGCAGAAATTACTTGCTATTCATGAACAAAAATCCGAATTTACTATTGGCCTACTTTGGCAACAATTCTTCGATGCACGATTGACATCGGAAACAATAAGTGATTACATGGCAAAAATTGAAAATATTTCTGCACAAATTTCACAAATGGGCGGAACCATAACGGAAGATCAAAAGGTAGCAAAAATTTTAAATACTTTGCCTTCGAGTATGCGCTACTTTGTTGCAGCGTGGGAATCGTTAGATCCGAAAGCTCAAACTCTTAACAATTTAACTGCAAGACTTTTGATTGAAGAAACAAGGAATCAACAAAGCGGTTCTTCTAAACAAGATGAGGCCTTATTACACAGGCAAGCACGAACGAAGGCTAAAGATACACAACGTTCTTTTCAAGATGCCAAGAAGAACACTAAATGCCACTATTGTCACAAAATTGGACATTGAAGCCGCGAATGTAGAAAAAGATTAGCTAATGAGAAAAATAAATCCAAAAATCTTCATGATTCAAAAGGAAGTTCAAGTGATTATGGACTTATTTTGTGCGATAATCAAGTAGAGCCCAATGATATTTGGTATGCTGACAGCGGTGCAAGCTGCAGCATGACATTTCGACGAGAGTGGTTCAAGACCTACACGCCGTTCACCAGTGATCATCCAATCTACTTGGGAGACAACTCGACACTACTTGCAGAAGGCATGGGAGACATCGAGATTCAAGCCTACGTCGACGGTGGATGGTACAATACGTACATAAGAAATGTGCTCTACTCGCCGCAACTATAGAAAAATTTGTATAGCCTTTCTACGTCCACAAGAAGAGGATTCAACGTCATTATCAAACATGACAAGCTACAGATCTTCATGGATAATGACCTAAAAGCCGTAGGAGTGCGTCATGACGGCCTCTACAGGATGCTCTTCAAGGTTACGTCATCATCATCACAAGGATACATCACCAGCGAGAACAAGCTTCAGTTGTGGCACGAGAGACTTGCGCATCTTCCAGTTGCTACACTTCGAGAGATGGCGACCAAAGGATTGGTGGATGGTCTGCAGCCTCAAGATTTAGAGGGAGAATTTTTCTTCTGTGAAGGATGTCAACTTGGAAAAGCCCATAGAAAGTCGTGCTATCCCTCAGATGGCAAAAACTACCAGCTAGGTGAGTTTATTTATGCTGATATTTGTGGCCCAATGCAGACTCAATCATTAAGTAAATATCTATATTTCTGCTTATTTAAAGATTACTTTAGTGGTTATCGCCATATTTATTTTATTAAAAACAAATCAGATGTGCTAGATATATTCAAAGAATATGCTACTCTAATCTATACTCAAACTGGAAATAAGATAAAAGTTCTTAGGACTGATAATGCGCTAGAATTCAAAAGCGATAATTTTGCAGATTTATGTAAAAGATTTGGGATAATTCACGAGTTCACTGCACCTATTGTGCACGAACAGATAGGACGTATAGAAAGAGACAATCGTACGATTGTGGAAGCAGCCAGGTACATGCTAAATTCACGAAATCTTCCAAGATTTTTTTGGGCTGAGGCATGTAACACAGCAACTTATATTCTAAATAGAAGTGCGACTAAGCAAACCCCTGGAACGACACCTTATGAACTTTTCTTTGGCACAAAGCCTAATGTAGCTAACTATAAAATATTTGGCTGTAATGCTTATATGCATATTCCCAAAGAAAACCGTAAAAAGTGGGATAATAAATCGATAAAACTTATGTTTTTAGGTTATGAGAACACAAGCAAAAATTTTAGATTATGGGATTGGAAAACTAGAAAAATAAGAATTTCTAAAGATGTCACATTCGATGAGAAAGCTACTCCACATTCAGATAGAGAATCTACCAAACCGAAAGAAATAATATATCAGATTAACAGCGCTCCGGATGAATCACCAGTTGCAACAACAAACTTCCCAGTGCAGGAAATGCTGCCAGTATCCGATATCAGTTCGCATATCCAATGATAACACGCTCTAAAGTTTCGGATAGCCAATGTAACTTTGCGCTCGCTGATGAACCCAGTAACTATATAGACGCAATAACAAGTTCAGATTCAGAAAGATGGAAATTAGCCATGGATGAAGAGATTTATGCATTAAATAAAAATAAAACATGGACTTTAGAACGTTTGGCAGATGGTCATAAACCTATCAGTTGTAAATGGGTTTATAAAATTAAAACGGAGTCCGATGGTACAATTCAACGGTTCAAAGCCAGATTAGTTGCAAAAGGCTATTCTCAAATCAAAAATGTTGACTATTTCGATACGTTTTGCCCAGTAGTCAGGTATGATTCGTTACGCATTCTTTTATCACACGCTGCTTCTGAAAGGATGTTTCTTAAGCAATTCGATGTAAAGACAGCTTTTCTCAATGACGAATTAGAGGAACTTGTTTATCTTGAACAACCAGAAGGCTACAAGAGAGATGATAATAGCTGCTATAGATTACATAAAAGTCTGTATGGTCTAAAACAATCTTCTAGAAATTGGAATAAGAAATTTACCATTTTTTTGTATAGCCATAATTTCAAAACATCAGACGCCGACCCGTGCATTTTCATTGGAACACACAATGATTCAAATGTTATCTTAGCTCTCTATGTTGATGATGGAATTATTCTATCTAAAGATAAAGAGGCAATAGCTATTATAATGGATGAGTTAGAACACGCATTTGATATTACATCTGGAAGTGTTAACTTTTTTGTTGGGCTACAAATAGAGCAGTCAGAAGATAGGGCAAGTATTTTCATTCACCAGTCATCATATATTGACAAAATTTTGAGTAAATTTAATATGGCTGACTGTATTCCTGCTTCGGTGCCTATGGATCCTTCTGACATCTTAACAAAGCAGGACTGTCCTACTCCAGAACAAAAGGAAAAGATGCCTAAATTCCCTTTTCGAGAAGCTGTTGGATCCCTTATGTTTGCATCATGTGTTTCACGTCCAGATATCACTTATGCAGTTTCACAAGTGAGTAAATTCCTAGAATATCCAGGACCTGCACATTGTACAACAGTGAAGAATATTTTCCGTTATCTGAAAGGCACTCCACACATGGGAATTCTCTTCACTGGACAAGACCAACTTGTTGGCTACTCTGATAGTGATTTTGCTCGTGATGTTGACTCCAGAAAAAGTACGACTGGTTATGCCTTCATGATGAACGGAGGAACTGTTTCTTGGGCAAGCCAACGACAACCAATTATCGCACTTTCAACCACCGAAAGTGAATACATCGCTGCCTGCAGTGCTGCCAAGGAATTGATTTGGATCAGAAGACTTCTACAGGGCATCGGCTGTGATATTACTAAAGAAACTGAACTTTATATCGACAACCAAGCAGCAATAAAACTTGTTGAAAATCCAGTATTCCACTAACGAACGAAACATATTGATGTTCGCTACCACTTCATTAGATCCAAACATGAAGAAGGTGAACTTAAAGTGCATCATGTTTGCAGCTCAGAACAGCTAGCTGATATAATGACTAAACCTCTTCCACGAAACAAATTCCACTACTTAAGAGGTCTACTGAACATTTTGGATCGAGAGGGAGTGTTGGAATAGCGATCAAAATTAGCGTGGAGCATTGGGGGATCGACCAATCAACGGCCGCGGCGGCGCTGCGGTCGACGTCAATATATATAGTCCTTAGTCTCTCGCCTTCCTACATGTACTTGCCTTTAAAGCTTTGCTACTTTTACATCTTGTTTTAAGTTACTTTGTTTAATAAATAATCCTTTTATTCCTTGATTCAATCTCAAACTTCAACAAAATAAATACACACAGAAAAGGATTAGTAAGAGTTAGAATAATTTGTTTACAACTACGCGGTAACCCTAAATACACAACAGTAATTGAAAGTTGATGTCTACATCTTAATAAAATAATATTATTACTAGTAGGCATAGGTAAAAATAGTTCACTTGCGAGATTTCAGGTCTGAGAATAATAACAATAAATAAACTATGTTTCACATATATATTCAGAACTTATACCCCATTTTTATCAGCAAAGTGTAAATATGTGTTAAAATCGGGTGATTTTATACTTTTACGTTGTTATTGTCTTTAAATAAACTATTTCCAGATCTCTACATGT